ATGTCCCGGCATCGCATTCACCGAAGATCCAGAGTAAGATGTGTGACCATGTTGCCCAGGTCTGTTGCCAGGACGATAGTACGGAGAGCTCGTATCAGCGTATACGGCTCTGCCACTCTGTCCACTGAGGGAGGATGCCGTTGGTGTGTTACCATACTGTGACTGGTATAGACTGCTGCCAATTGCTGCCGGTGGGTGCAGCTGCTGCTGTTGTTGCGGCTGCTGCTCTTGTTGCTGCTGCTGTTGCTGCATCATTGCCATCGAGAATGCAGTGGATCCATGTGTTTTTCGAGGAGATCACATCATCAGGAACATCACGAAGAAATTACAGAATACATTGCCAGCCCTCGTCACTGACACGGCAAAAGAGCACAGTTATTCAGCAACCCTGAAAAGGGAAATGATTTCCACTTGCTCAAGAGTGCTGCTACTGTAGCCCAGTATTCCAAACACGCAAACATGCCTAGCTAAAGTTTCTATTGGCACACACCTACAAATTCTACTCAATCCTACCAGCACATGAATCTAAGTCACAGAGTCTTTAACGCTGAAAGACAGAATCAATGCAAGATCTGTTCATATGCACTTAGTACCAAATGGGTAGGGCACTGTCCCGGAAAGACAGGGGTGCTGGGTTCGAATCCCGGTTGTGGATCCTTCTTTTGCAACAGTTTGAACAATCCTATGCTGGATCAAGGTTGTTGGTTGAACTGACAATTACCCGTCTAGACCATAGCTAGGGAATTTCCCTGAACGTGTTGGACCCTTGAGTCTCTTTTCACCTTATTCACTCAAATTCCAGAAAGAAAAAGTCAGAAAGGGTTTGCTCCCCACACTGGAGCTCACGGTATTCCGCCGACTTTACTTGACACTTGACTGACTCACGACTGCCATCCAGAGCACACGAGAAGTCCATCGAACCTTCGACTCGGCAAACCTGCAAGAAAGCACCACTCCCTGCTCAATACACAGTGTTCCGGGGAATTCACCCCTCATCAGTTGAGCTTGAGTAGGCTGAGGAAGATTGTGTCTGAATAGCACCACTTATATAGTGTTCTCCAGGCACACACATCACCAGGGATGCAAACTTACAGAAACGCTCCGCTTCCAGCGCGACAAACACCTTGTGAACACCAGATAGCAGCGTGAGTCAGAGTCGCTTGTGGACGGTGAGCTCCAGTGTGGGGAGCAAACCCTTTCTTACAAATCATCGCCGAAGTCGCAACCACTACTTCGTACTGTTGTGCCCAGCGCGGGCTTGCTACTAGTTGGTTTGGAGGTGACAGCGTTGCGAATGACCGAGGGTCCTCAACGTCTGTTCTCACCGTCCAGGAGCGACACCGACTCACGCTGCTATCTGGTGTTCACGAGGTGTTTGTCGCGATGGAAACGGAGCGTCTCTGTGAGTTTGTATCTCAGGTGATGTTTGTTCTTGGAGAGCACTACATAAGTGGTGCTCTTCAGGCACAATCTTCTTCAGCCTACTCAAGCTCAACTGATGAGGGGTGAATTCCCCGAAACACTGTGTATTGAGCAGGGAGTAGTGCTTTCTTGCAGGTTTGCCGAGTCGAAGGTTCGATGGGCTTCTCGTGTGCTCTGGATGGCAGTTGTGAGTCAGTCAAGTAAAGTCGGCGGAATAGCGCGAGCTCCACTGTGGGGAGCAAACCCTTTCTTACAAATCATCGCCGAAGTCGCAACCACTACTTCGTACTGTTGTGCCCAGCGCGGGCTTGCTACTAGTTGGTTTGGAGGTGACAGCGTTGCGAATGACCGAGGGTCCTCAACGTCTGTTCTCACCGTCCAGGAGCGACACTGACTCACGCTGCTATCTGGTGTTCACGAGGTGTTTGTCGCGATGGAAACGGAGCGTCTCTGTGAGTTTGTATCTCAGGTGATGTTTGTTCTTGGAGAGCACTACATAAGTGGTGCTCTTCAGGCACAATCTTCTTCAGCCTACTCAAGCTCAACTGATGAGGGGTGAATTCCCCGAAACACTGTGTATTGAGCAGGGAGTAGTGCTTTCTTGCAGGTTTGCCGAGTCGAAGGTTCGATGGGCTTCTCGTGTGCTCTGGATGGCAGTTGTGAGTCAGTCAAGTAAAGTCGGCGGAATAGCGCGAGCTCCACTGTGGGGAGCAAACCCTTTCTTACAAATCATCGCCGAAGTCGCAACCACTACTTCGTAAAGAAAAAGTCATCCACAGTAATATTACTGGCAGTAGTATGGCTAGTTATACTAAAGTCAAAAACAGTTCTCCCTGAAGATCGGCCATGCACGGAAATTTGGTGAAAATCTGTAAGTTGCATCAAAGAGACCAGTTGCAATATTTTGAGCCCGGACGAAAAGCGAGTGCCTCCATGGAAGCGAGTTCCCCAACACTGTACAAGCCTGTATATACATGTTTATACTGTAGTACCGCACTTGAATTGAATGAGTGCTCGAAATCAAAATGGGTACACTTTTGCAAACGGTACCTGCGATTAACACGCCACATACATACAAGGACCTTCCTTGATATGCCAACACTAACTGTCTTATACAGGGTCTGATCCAGAGATCTCTACAGGGGGTTGTAGTTTATCCAAAGCTGAATAGCTGATACATGTATAGTACATGCATATGAATTCCAGTAGGGGATTTGTATAATTTAGGGGTTTCCGCTTAACGCCCGGAACCCCCTAGACTCGTCCCTGTTATAGCCTTCAGCACCTTACCTGAGTGCGTTCCACCCTCGCCATTTCTCTCCACAATTCTAAATACTGCCGGGATATTTCCTTGCGACTTTGAATATCTAAATCTGATGCATTCAGTGAAACCTGCATCACGTGACCAAACAACAAGCGAGGCAGAGTACAGCAAGGGTATGACAATAATGTACAGAGTACAGAGTACAGCAAGGGTATGACAATAATGTACAGAGAGTACAGAGTTCAAGAGAGTATGGCAAGGGTACAGGCAAACCAGCATGTATCACTGTATTTGGTCCGACCTATTAAAATGTGCGTCTCATATACAAATGAGCACAAGTTCTAAAAAATACCCCAAGAGACGGTAGATAGATAACTACTGTGTCGTTTCTTCTCATCTCCTCCAAGCTATGCTGCTCTTCCTTGATTTCATCACTACATAGGCACGATTGAGATGATCGCATTGGCCTCTTCCTCGTGCTTCATGCAGTCAGACTATGAGTGCATGCTATTCCCTGTGATACGAATCCACTGGACCGGCAGACGGGCAATCTTGTGACTGAGCTTTTAGCATAAGCAGCTTGATGTACCATTGACACCTCGCAGTTTCGGCCAAAAAGGCCTCATTAGTACAGCTACGAGCTAAATAGGCCGAGCTACCAGCCATGGTGCAAAGGAGGCACCACAGACGTTAAGATAGGTCGTCGCTCTAGCGCCAGAGTGCTCTACCCACGAAAGGTACTGGGCAATGCGTAATGCAGCAGCACTACAGCAGCCTGTGTGTGCGTGTGTGTGTGTATGTGTGTGTGTGTATGTGTGTGTGTGTGTATGTGTGTGTGTATGTGTGTGTGTGTGTGTATGTGTGTGTGTGTGTATGTGTGTGTGAAAATGTGTGTGTGTGAAAATGTGTGTGTGTGGAAATGTGTGTGTGTATGTGTGTGTGAAAATGTGTGTGTGTGGAAATGTGTGTGTGTGCGTGTGGAAATGTGTGTTTGTAAATGTGTGTGTGTGTGTGTGTGTGTGTGTAAATGTGTTTACTCACACTGCTCTGATGTCCCGGCTGCTGCTGTTCTTGCGCTGGCTGCTGTTCTTGCGCCGGCTGCTGTTCTTTCGCCGGCTGCTGTTCTTGCGCCGGCTGCTGTTCTTGCGCCGGCTGCTGTTCTTGCGCCGGCTGCTGTTCTTGCGCCGGCTGCTGTTCTTGCGCCGACTGCTGTTCTTGCGCCGACTGCTGTTCTTGCGCCGACTGCTGCTGTTCGTGCGCCGGCTGCTGCTGTTCGTGCGCCGGCGGCTGCCGTTGCGCCTGCTGCTGTCGTTGCGCCTGCTGCTGTCGTTGCGCCTGCTGCTGTCGTTGCGCCTGCTGCTGTCGTTGCGCCTGCTGCTGTCGTTCCACCTGCTGCTGTCGTTCCGCCTGCTGCTGTCGTTGCGCCTGCTGGTGTTGTTGCGCCTGCTCCTGTTGTTGCGCCTGCTGCTGTTGTTGCGCCTGAGTGAATAAGGTGAAAAGAGACTCAAGGGAAATTCCCTACCTATGGTCTAGACGGGTAATTGTCAGTTCAACCAACAACCTTGATCCAGCATTGGATTGTTCAAACTGTTGCAAAAGAAGGATCCACAAGCGGGATGCGAACCCAGCACCCCTGTTCTTCCGGGACAGTGGGTCTCTTTTTGACCGTCCAGGAGCGACACTGACTCTCGCTGCTATCTGGTGTTCACAAGGTGTTTGTCGCGCTGGAAACGGAGTGTCTCTGTAAGTTTGTATCCCTTGGTGATATTTGTGCCTGGAGAGCACTATATAAGTGGTGCTCTTCAGGCACAATCTTCCTCAGCCTACTCAAGCTCAACTGATGAGGGGTAAATATCCCGAAACACTGTGTATTGAGCAGGGAGTGGTGCTTTCTTGCAGGTTTGCCGAGTCGAAGGTTCAATGGACTTCTCGTGTGCTCTGGATGGCAGTCGTGAGTCAGTCAAGTGTCAAGTAAAGTCGGCGGACCAGCGCGTGCTCCAGTGTGGGGAGCAAACCCTTTCTTACAAATCATCGCCGAAGTCGCAACCACTACTTCGTAAAGAAAAAGTCATCCACAGTAATATTACTGGCAGTAGTATGGCTAGTTATACTAAAGTCAAAAACAGTTCTCCCTGAAGATCGGCCATGCACGGAAATTTGGTGAAAATCTGTAAGTTGCATCAAAGAGACCAGTTGCAATATTTTGAGCCCGGACAAAAACCGAGTGCCTCCATGGAAGCGAGTTCCCCAACACTATACAAGCCTGTATATACATGTTTATACTGTAGTACCGCACTTGAATTGAATGAGTGCTCGAAATCAAAATGGGTACACTTTTGCAAACGGTACCTGCGATTAACACGCCACATACAAGGACCTTCCTTGATATTCCAACACTAACTGTCTTATACAGGGTCTGATCCAGAGATCTCTACAGGTGGTTGTAGTTTATCCAAAGCTGAATAGCTGATACATGTACAGTACATGCATATGAATTCCAGTAGAAGATTTGTAAAATTTAGGGGGGTCCGCTTAACCCCCGGAACCCCCTAGACTCGTCCCTGTTATAGCCTTCAGCACCTTACCTGAGTGCGTTCCACCCTCGCCATTTCTCTCCACAATTCTAAATACTGCCGGGATATTTCCTTGCGACTTTGAATATCTAAATCTGATGCAATCAGTGAAACCTGCATCACGTGACCAAACAACAAACGAGGCAGAGTACAGCAAGGGTATGACAATAAAGTACAGAGTACAGAGTACAAGAGAGTATGACAAGGGTACAGGCAAACCAGCGTGTATCACTGTACTTGATCCGACTTATTAAAATGTGCGTCTCATATAAAATCTCAAGCCTTCGTACAAATGAGCACAAGTTCTAAAAAATACCCCAAGAGACGGTAGATAGATAACTACTGTGTCGTTTCTTCTCATCTCCTCCAAGCCATGCTGCTCTTCCTTGATTTCATCACTCCATAGGCACGATTGACATGATCGCATTGGCCTCTTCCTCGTGCTTCATGCAGTCAGTCTATGAGTGCATGCTATTCCCTGTGATACGAATACACTGGACCGGCAGACGGGCAATCTTGTGACTGAGCTTTTAGCATAAGCAGCTTGATGTAGCAGTGACACCTCGCGGTTTCGGCCAAAAAGGCCTCATTAGTGCAGCTACGAGCTAAAAAGGCCGAGCTACCAGCCATGGTGCAAAGGAGGCACCACAGACGTTAAGATAGCTCGTCGCTCTAGCACCAGAGTGCTCTACCCACGAAAGGTACCGGGCAATGCGTAATGCAGCAGCACTACAGCAGCCTGTGTGTGTGTGTGTGTGTGTGTGTGTATGTGTGTGTGTGTATGTGTGTGTGTATGTGTGTGTGTATGTGTGTGTGTGTATGTGTGTGTGTGTATGTGTGTGTGTGTATGTGTGTGTGAAAATGTGTGTGTGTGGAAATGTGTGTGTGTGTGAGAATGTGTGTTTGTAAATGTGTGTGTGTGTGTGTGTAAATGTGTGTGTGTAAATGTGTTTACTCACACTGCTCTGATGTCCCGGCTGCTGCTGTTCTTGCGCCGGCTGCTGTTCTTGCGCCGGCTGCTGTTCTTGCGCCGGCTGCTGTTCTTGCGCCGACTGCTGTTCTTGCGCCGACTGCTGTTCTTGCGCCGGCTGCTGTTCTTGCGCCGGCTGTTGCTGTTCGTGCGCCGGCTGCTGCTGTTCGTGCGCCGGCGGCTGCCGTTGCGCCTGCGGCTGCCGTTGCGCCTGCTGCTGTCGTTGCGCCTGCTGCTGTCGTTGCGCCTGCTGCTGTCGTTCCGCCTGCTGCTGTCGTTCCGCCTGCTGCTGTTGTTGCGCCTGCTGCTGTTGTTGCGCCTGAGTGAATAAGGTGAAAAGATACTCAAGGGTCCAACACGTTCAGGGAAATTCCCTAGCTATGGTCTAGGCGGGTAATTGTCAGTTCAACCAACAACCTTGATCCAGCATTGGATTGTTCAAACTGTTGCAAAAGAAGGATCCACAAGCGGGATGCGAACCCAGCACCCCTGTCCTTCCGGGACAGTGGGTCTCTTTTTAACCGTCCAGGAGCGACACTGACTCACGCTGCTATCTGGTGTTCACAAGGTGTTTGTCGCGCTGGAAACGGAGTGTCTCTGTAAGTTTGTATCCCTTGGTGATGTTTGTGCCTGGAGAGCACTATATAAGTGGTGCTCTTCAGGCACAATCTTCCTCAGTCTACTCAAGCTCAACTGATGAGGGGTGAATATCCCGAAACACTGTGTATTGAGCAGGGAGTGGTGCTTTCTTGCAGGTTTGCCGAGTCGAAGGTTCAATGGACTTCTCGTGTGCTCTGGATGGCAGTCGTGAGTCAGTCAAGTGTCAAGTTAAGTCGGCGGAATAGCGCGAGCTCCAGTGTGGGGAGCAAACCCTTTCTTACAAATCGCCGAAGTCGCAACCACTACTTCGTAAAAAAAAGTCATCCACAGTAATATCACTGGCAGTAGTATGGCTAGTTATACTAAAGTCAAAAACAGTTTTCTCCCTGAAGATCGGCCATGCACGGAAATTTGGTGAAAATCAGTAAGTTGCATCAAAGAGACCAGTTGCAATATATTGAGCCCGGACAAAAACCGAGTGCCTCCATGGAAGCGAGTTCCCCAACACTGTACAAGCCTGTATATACATGTTTATACTGTAGTACCGCACTTGAATTGAATGAGTGCTCGAAATCAAAATGGGTACACTTTTGCAAACGGTACCTGCGATTAACACCCCACATACATACAAGGACCTTCCTTGATATGCCAACACTAACTGTCTTATACAGGGTCTGATCCAGAGATCTCTACAGGGGGTTGCAGTTTATCCAAAGCTGAATAGCTGATACATGTATAGTACTTGCATATGAATTCCAGTAGAAGATTTGTAAAATTTAGGGGGTTTCGCTTAACGCCCGGAACCCCCTACACTCGTCCCTGTTATAGCCTTCAGCACCTTACCTGAGTGCGTTCCACCCTCGCCATTTCTTTCCACAATTCTAAATACTGCCGGGATATTTCCTTGCGACTTTGAATATCTAAATCTGATGCATTCAGTGAAACCTGCATCACGTGACCAAACAACAAACGAGGCAGAGTACAGCAAGGGTATGACAATAATGTACAGAGTACAGAGTACAGAGCACAGCAAGGGTATGACAATCATGTACAGAGTACTGGGTACAGCAAGGGTATGACAATAAGGTACAGAGAGTACAGAGTTCAAGAGAGTATGGCAAGGGTACAGGCAAACCAGCATGTATCACTGTACTTGGTCCGAATTATTAAAATGTGCGTCTCATATAAAATCTCAAGCCTTCGTACAAATGAGCACAAGTTCTAAAAAATACCCCAAGAGATGGTAGATAGATAACTACTGTATCGTTTCTTCTCATCTCCTCCAAGCTATGCTGCTCTTCCTTGATTTCATCACTCCATAGGCACGATTGAGATGATCGCATTGGCCTCTTCCTTGTGCTTCATGCAGTCAGACTATGAGTGCATGCTATTCCCTGTGATACGAATCCACTGGACCGGCAGACGGGCAATCTTGTGACTGAGCTTTTAGCATAAGCAGCTTGATGTAGCAGTGACACCTCGCGGTTTCGGCCAAAAAGGCCTCATTAGTACAGCTACGAGCTAAATAGGCCGAGCTACCAGCCATGGTGCAAAGGAGGCACCACAGACGTTAAGATAGCTCGTCGCTCTAGCGCCAGAGTGCTCTCCCCACGAAAGGTACCGGGCAATGCGTAATGCAGCAGCCTGTGTGTGTGTGTGTGTGTGTGTGTGTGTGTATGTGTGTGTGTGTAAATGTGTGTGTGTAAATGTGTGTGTGTAAACGTATGTGTGTGAAAATGTGTGTGTGTAAATGTGTGTGTGTGCGTGTGTAAATGTGTGTTTGTAAATGTGTGTGTGTGTAAATGTGTGTGTGTAAATGTGTGTGTGTGAAAATGTGTGTGTGTAAATGTGTGTGTGTGCGTGTGTAAATGTGTGTTTGTAAATGTGTGTGTGTGTAAATGTGTTTACTCACACTGCTCTGATGTCCCGGCTGCTGCTGTTCTTGCGCCGGCTGCTGCTGTTCTTGTGCCGGCTGCTGCTGTTCTTGCGCCGGCTGCTGCTGTCGTTGCGCCGGCTGCTGCTGTCGTTGCGCCGGCTGCTGCTGTCGTTGCGCATGCTGCTGTCGTTGCGCCTGCTGCTGTCGTTCCGCCTGCTGCTGTCGTTGCGCCTGCTGCTGTCGTTGCGCCTGCTGCTGTCGTTCCGCCTGCTGCTGTCGTTCCGCCTGCTGCTGTTGTTGCGCCTGCTGCTGTTGTTGCGCCTGCTGCTGTTGTTGCGCCTGCTGCTGTTGTTGCGCCTGAGTGAATAAGGTGAAAAGAGACTCAAGGGTCCAACAAGTTCAGGGAAATTCCCTAGCTATGGTCTAGACGGGTAATTGTCAGTTCAACCAACAACCTTGATCCAGCATTGGATTTTTCAAACTGTTGCAAAAGAAGGATCCACAAGCGGGATGCGAACCCAGCACCCCTGTCCTTCCGGGACAGTGGGTCTCTTTTTGACTGTCCAGGAGCGACACTGACTCACGCTGCTATCTGGTGTTCACAAGGTGTTTGTCGCGCTGGAAACGGAGTGTCTCTGTAAGTTTGTATCCCTTGGTGATGTTTGTGCCTGGAGAGCACTATATAAGTGGTGCTCTTCAGGCACAATCTTCCTCAGCCTACTTAAGCTCAACTGATGAGGGGTGAATATCCCGAAACACTGTGTATTGAGCAGGGAGTGGTGCTTTCTTGCAGGTTTGCCGAGTCGAAGGTTCGATGGACTTCTCGTGTGCTCTGGATGGCAGTCGTGAGTCAGTCAAGTGTCAAGTAAAGTCGGCGGAATAGCGCGAGCTCCAGTGTGGGGAGCAAACCCTTTCTTACAAATCATCGCCGAAGTCGCAACCACTACTTCGTAAAGAAAAAGTCATCCACAGTAATATCACTGGCAGTAGTATGGCTAGTTATACTAAAGTCAAAAACAGTTCTCCCTGAAGATCGGCCATGCACGGAAATTTGGTGAAAATCTGTAAGTTGCATCAAAGAGACCAGTTGCAATATTTTGAGCCCGGACAAAAACCGAGTGCCTCCATGGAAGCGAGTTCCCCAACACTATACAAGCCTGTATATACATGTTTATACTGTAGTACCGCACTTGAATTGAATGAGTGCTCGAAATCAAAATGGGTACACTTTTGCAAACGGTACCTGCGATTAACACACCATATACATACAAGGAACTTCCTTGATATTCCAACACTAACTGTGTTATACAGGAGCTGATCCAGAGATCTCTACAGGTGGTTGTAGTTTATCCAAAGCTGAATAACTGATACATGTACAGTACATGCATATGGATTCGAGTAGAAGATTTGTAAAATTTAGGGGGTTCCGCTTAACCCCCGGAACCCCCTAGACTCGTCCCTGTTATAGCCTTCAGCACCTTACCTGAGTGCGTTCCACCCTCGCCATTTCTTTCCACAATTCTAAATACTGCCGGGATATTTCCTTGCGACTTTGAATATCTAAATCTGATGCAATCAGTGAAACCTGCATCACGTGACCAAACAACAAACGAGGCAGAGTACAGCAAGGGTATGACAATAATGTACAGAGTACAGAGTACAGAGTACAGCAAGGGTATGACAATAAGGTACAGAGAGTACAGAGTTCAAGAGAGTATGGCAAGGGTACAGGCAAACCAGCATGTATCACTGTATTTGGTCCGAATTATTAAAATGTGCGTCTCATTTCAAAACTCAAACATTCGTACAAATGAGCACAAGTTCTAAAAAATACCCCAAGAGACGGTAGATAGATAACTACTGTATCGTTTCTTCTCATCTCCTCCAGGCTATGATGCTCTTCCTTGATTTCATCACTTTTCATTAAGATGATCGCATTGGCCTCTTCCTCGTGCTTCATGCAGTCAGACTATGAGTGCATGCTATTCCCGTGATACGAATTCACTGGACCGACTGACGGGCAATCTTGTGACGGAGCTTTTAGCATAAGCAGCTTGATGTAGCAGTGACACCTCGCGGTTTCGGCCAAAAAGGCTACGAGCTAAATAGGCCGAGCTACCAGCCATGGTGCAAAGGAGGCGGCACCACAGACATTAAGATAGCTCGTCGCTCTAGCGCCAGAGTGCTCTACCCACGAAAGGTACCGGGCAATGCGTAATGCAGCAGCACTACAGCAGCCTGTGTGTGTGTGTGTGTGTGTGTGTGTGTGTATGTGTGTGTGTGTGTATTTGTATGTGTGTGTGTGTGTGTGTGTGTATGTGTGTGTGTGTAAATGTGTGTGTGTGTGTTTACTCACACTGCTCTGATGTCCCGGCTGCTGCTGTGGTTGCGCCGGCTGCTGTGGTTGCGCCGGCTGCTGTGGTTGCGCCGGCTGCTGTGGTCGCGCCGGCTGCTGTGGTCGCGCCGGCTGCTGTGGTCGCGCCGGCTGCTGTGGTCGCGCCGGCTGCTGTGGTCGCGCCGGCTGCTGTGGTCGCGCCGGCTGCTGTGGTTGCGCCGGCTGCTGTTCTTGCGCCGGCTGCTGTTCTTGCGCCGGCTGCTGTTCTTGCGCCGGCTGCTGTTCTTGCGCCGGCTGCTGTTCTTGCGCCGGCTGTTGCGCCTGCTGCTGTAGTTGCGCCGGCTGCTGTTGTTGCGCCTGCTGCTGTTGTTGCGCCTTCTGCAGCTGCTGCTGCATCATTGCCATCGAGAATGCAGTGGATCCATGTGTTTGTTTCGAGGAGAGCACATCATCAGGAACATCACGAAGAAATTACAGAATACATTGCCAGCCCTCGTCACTGACATGGCAAAAGAGCACAGTGATTAAGAAACCCCGAAAAGGGAAATGATTTCCACTTGCACAAGTGTGCTGCTTCTGTAGCCCAGTATTCCAAACACGCAAACATGCCTAGCCAAAGTCACCATTGGCAAACATTTACGGATTCTGCTCAATCCATCCAGCACATTCATCCAAGTTCTTTAACGCTAACTGAGACGGAATCAATGCAAGATCTGTTCATATGCACATGGCACCTAATGGGTAAGGCACTGTCCTCTCAAAACAGGGATGCTGGGTTCGAATCCCGTTTGTGGATCCTTCTTTTGGAACAGTTTGAACAATCCAATGCTGGATCAAAGTTGTTTGGCCAACTGACAAGGACTTAACTAGACTGTAGCTTAGGGATTTTCCCTGAACGTGTAAGACCCTGTGTGTGTTTTTTTTTTACCTTATTCACTCAAATTCCAGCAATAAAAAGTCATCCACAGTAATATTACTGGTAGTAGCATGGCTAGTTATACTGAAGTCAAAACTGGTTTCACCCTGATGATCCGCCATACCTGAAATTTTTTTGAATAATTGTTATATTCGTATGCACCAAAGAGACCGTATTTAAAATGTTTGAGTTCAGGTAAACTAAGGTTTGAGTAGAGGTATCCAAAGGTCAAAAAGAGACTCAAGGGTCATACACGTTCAGGGAAAATCGCCACGCTACAGCCTAGACGGGTAATTGTCAGTTCAACAAACAACCTTACTCCAGCATTGGACTGTGCAAACTGCTGCAAAAGAAGGATCCACGAGCGGGATTGAAACCAGCGCCCCTACCGTTTCTGGGACAGTGCCTTATCGATTCGGGTACCGGAGATCGCGCACACCCTGGCCCGTGGGTCCTTCTTGCTACAAAACTCACTGGTGCTTGCCAGGGGTCCATGCCTGTCAAGGAAGGCCATTCCTGCGGTTGCTGCTGATGGCGTTGCTGGTGTGCTGGCTGTGGCTGCTCCTTGGATTGCTCCCGGGATTCAGGTGATGCTTGCGACCGCGCTGGCAGACCACCAGACCGCGCCGGTGGTCTCTACAAGGAACGGAGAGATCACCAATAATAGGATTCAACACAATAAATGAAGCGAGTTGCACATTCACCTTGCACATCTTTTGCGAGAGGTTAATAACAGGATTAGGATATTTTCAGGACAAATTCATCATGCACATAGAGAACTGGAGCACATGAAACGGTGCCAACTAGCGGGTATTCAGACCACACTTACCGTAACATTATTATCAGACATATCACAAAAATCACATAGATCTTTGAAATGAAGGACGCCGCCGCATCAGAACTAGGAGTTTCATGCCCAGCTGGCAATCCCAAGGTGACTAAAATGATACAGGGAATGCCTGCAGTACCCCATTTATACACAAACATAGTCCAGTATGGCGCTAGACCAAAGCCGCGAAGAAACTAAGCGTGAACAGGTAGGTGAGAACCTGGGGGGGGGGGGGGGGGGGGGGGGTCGGTGCTAGCTTGTGAATGCATTTGCTGGTATGGGGCTACTCAAAAGTGTTAAAATTGGTGTAAAAATGGAGGGTAGTAGAGGAGGCGCAGGTTACACGGCCAGGTTGGTCGAGCACACGCTTACTTTTACCTTTTACTGCTAGCTTACAATGTGCTACAACATGTGATGATACTGAAGTGTGATAGCAGCAGCACCTTGCTCACGTCGAAACATTTGGAGACAAGCTCTATCTTACTACTGGTGATATTATGTATGTTGTGCTCACACCCCCCCCCCTTCCCCTCCTCCCCCTGACTGTGGTATCTGCGCCTCTTTCTAACCCTCCAGTTAGCACCAATTATTTTAGCACTTCTGAGCAGTGAAAGATAGAGATCTGATTTTCAGTAGCATATGCCGCATAGAGTTAGTGTTTATTCATTATTCGTTCATCACTTCGCTAGCCTGCATCCAGTAGTTACTGACTTACTTCTGTGGCTTTCAGGTTCACCCATCGCTATGTCTTCCACGTGCTCTGGTTTGCTCGAAGTGTAAGGCCAGTCTTACAGTACTTTGACGTAATTTCCGTAAATGTATCACCATAGCATCCTCTGCTAGTCAACAATCGTTACATTCCTTTTTCCTCATAATAATGCTGCTAGCAGTATAAATCTCAGGAAGCATAGACGCCTGTTACTGATGCGACTTTGGAATAAAGGTACGACGACAACAACAATAACTTGAGAGAGAGGCAAGGGAAATGCGAAAAGGGGAAGGGAAGGGGGGGGGGCAGATTCTCAATCTTTTGGTTTCTGCGGCACCCCAGAGCAACGACTGCGTGCTCGCTCTTCCATGGACGTGCTTGCTAGCCTATTATAATTATGGCTGTAGTCTTACTCTTACAGTAGGTATCGGTTATAGCGTGGGTGTTTGAAAAACGACTTTCTATTCTTATTTCCGATATTTCTTACACACGATAAATCAAGTGTGGCATGCATATCACATGCATGTGCGCAGAGGCAGGAAGATCATCGTACATGCAACGCAGTACTTCTGTGCATGTGGCTGGTCATACTCATAGTCATACTCATACGCGAATGACTAGTCCCATACCCTAGCCCTAGGCTTACCATGTTGCAAAACGAGTTACATGTACATGTAGATCTACATGACCAAAACAGTTGAATCTGCAGCACTACGCGGTATACGACGCAACGAGAGTCAGATCAGAACGGATGTTATTACTACAGCCTAGTACAGGCGAAACGCTCTCTCTAGGCTGCAAAGTAAGTAACCGGTAGTTCTGGCACAGAGCTCTCCTTCTCACCACCACCACCATCAGTTCGCGCCTGGCGCCTGGTCGATGCATGGTTGGCGGTATCCGGCATAGCAGGCTGGTACATCAAGTAGCGCATGGCACATACCATGCATACCGGTAGATGATGACACAGCAAGGACATATCTCGATTGCGACGTACGTTTCGTCCCCGCTGGACTCATCAGGCAATCTTCTTCTTGGATGTCTTCATATGGAGCTTGACTCGGGAGAATGAAGACATCCAAGAAGAAGATTGCCTGATGAGTCCAGCGGGGACGAAACGTACGTCGCAATCAAGCTATGTCGTTGCTGTGTCATGCGCTACTTGATGTAACAGCCTGCTATGCCGGATACCGCCAGCCATGCATCGACCAGGCGCCAGGCGCGAACTGATGGTGGTGGTGGTGAGAAGGAAAGCTCTGTGCCAGAACTTTGCAGCCTAGAGAGCGTTTGTGGGCAGGCGTGTGTTTACCGCCATATTGCCAGGTGTGTCTTTACCACCATATTTATCAACCAGAAGAGCGCTAGCGCGTGATTTATTCAAAGATGTTTCTTATCTCGGCATGGCTTCGCAGGCGTCTTTGGCGACATCAGCATCGTCAGCTACCTCTGATTGCTCCTCTCCACTGCCTGTCTACTCTCTTTCGCCTGGAGTGTCCTCACCGTCATCTGTGTGGCTGAAAAGACTATGGCGATACGCATAAAATTTGACTTGGCCATGGAGTTGGTTTTTCTGAGGCGACTGAGGAGGCAGGTTTGGCCCTCGACTCTTTGGGCGATCAAAATTCGTCGGAATCAGCAAGAAAAGGAGCACGGGACAGAACGTTGCTGATGCTGGGGCTCACGAAATGAAAACACATCATTTTCGACTTGCAAAACAAACGTTGGTGCGAAAATTCCACATTTTGATGTTCGACAAATGCCCGAAAAGCGCCGAACCGAAATTCGGAATGCAAAACCTCACAAAACTTGCATGTACATGTAGCTAGTCACCATGGTCACATAGAAAGACACTAAGTCTTGTAGTCTGTAGTGCCAGTAGATCTACTAGGCAGATACTAGTACTGAAGTACTAGTACTACTACTAGTAGTAGTGTTGTTGCTAGTAGACTACTAGTACTAGTACCAGTACTAGTACTAGTAGTAGTGGCCTGCTTAGCGCGAAGCCTGGCATCACATTTCCAAGCAAAACGCGAGAACCTACTTGGACAGTACAGACTGTCCAGTACTGCAGGGGCGTCGGAAGCAGGGAGTTGTATGGTATAGATGACTGGCCTTATCTGTTCTGATTCCTCCCCTGCACAATTACTCCTTACCATGCAGCATCGCATCAACAGCACTGTCATGTGGATGCAAACGTGGAAACTCCAGCCCAATTTAGACAAGACAGAAGCCATGTATATTTCTTCATCCCCTCCTTATCAACCATTATTCTTCCCTGACTCGACTATGCCTATCCGTGTTGTTACTCAGCACAAACATCTAGGTGTGATGCTTGACTGCAAACTCTCTTGGGCTGCACATGTCAACTGTGTATGCAAGCGAACCAGTTCAGCCTTAGGGGTACTACAACCACATTGCACTCATTTGCCCATCCAGTGTAAACTATTATTTTATCAGTGCTATATTCTCCCTTTATTCGACTATTGCGATACCGCTTGGTGTGGCCTTTCTGACACAACTCTGAGCCAATTAGAAGTCCACCATAGATTTATACTTAAAATTCTTTACAACAAGGATCGATGTTTTCCTTCGGATGCCCTTTATCGACTTGCACACACTTCTCCTCTCTCCGTTCGTCATAAGCACCATCTCTGTACACTGGTTCATAAGATATTTCTTCATAAAACCCCTTCACACATGATGAAGTACAATTGGTTTTCGACAAGCTCAACCCGTAACGCGCTCACCCTGCCTCTTGTTAAGTCAGCCCAGTATCTAAAGTCCCCTTTGTTTTCCGGCTACTCTCATTGGTTATCATTACCATACGGTCTGAAAACTTGTTCTTCTATTGGTCAGTTTAAAGATCTACTATCACAACTGAACTAGACGCAATAATTATCATCGAAGAACATTCTCGAATACCTGGGTGATGCACGAATTTTGATAGTGCTCACTTCCGTTAATCGTTTTTCTTTGTAATTTTCCATTCATTTTCTGCTTTAATTCATATTTGCTTTGTTTTCCTAGCTTACTATTGCCGTGGCTGGCTCAACGCCCTTGTCTCAGGGGATTCTCTCCCGGCATTAGCTATGCTTGTCACATGCTATGAGATTGTGTCTAATAATAATAATGACTCCCTGGTAGTGTGGTACGCGGACCGGTCAGCCATAATAATAATAGTGCAATATTAAATTTTATTATTTACTCGTGTGGAAGGGGTGGCTGAGGCGAACATTTTGGAAATTTAGATCCCAGATGACCATGGTGTATTGTATTGAAGGCGCACTTCAAGTGACTTGTCTAGGGCCTAGGCCAGGGTAGGGAGATCGAGAGTCCGTAGATCTACGTTGCATTTTGTGCGGCAAGACAGTTTTGGGGAAATGGAAAAAAGAAATACCTTACTCGCGCGATTAGAGCCCTCTCTTGAATAGTGCCCTATCTCCAATAGTGCCCTAGTCTCTAAAGGCCAGTGAAAAATAAATCCCTCTCTTGAATAGTGCCCCCCCCCCGGTCTTGTAACCAAGCCCGTGTGCAAGTTTGGTGTTCTTTTGCTAATGTTCTTGGCCATTGCTTTGCACTGGTGTTTTCAGGAACAAAATCGCAGGTCTTGTTCCCGTTTCTGTGGAGTCGTGAGCGTTTACAGTACACGTTAGGCTCTGTTTTTCTTTGCTTTATGCTGGATGGCGCAAATGTACCAGCAATGAAAAAATAGTGCCCTCTCTTGAATAGTGCCCTCTCTTGAATACTGCCTCATCTGTGACGGACATTGAAAAAATAGTGCCCCAGGGTCACTAATCACGCGATAACGGTATGTTACAGGGTAACTGTTCCCCTTGCCCACCCCCTACTATAGGGCTTGAAAGTGATGACGTCAAAACGGCCAGGGAGTAGTAAGTTGACATCAGATTTCTATTTTTGGATCCACTAAGGTGTGACTTTGCTATTGCCTAAGTATGTGGGTGCATAGCAACCCACTCATGTCGCATGCAGGTGTGACTTTTATTTCGCCACCAGTTGTAACCCCGCCCCCAGTAGCCAAATCAGTCAGTTTCACTGGTTACATCACCTTGCTGAGAGTAAGACCGCTTGAAATGTGCTTGGATCCATACAAAAACTGGATCCAGGTGGATCCAATTTTTGAATTTTTGAAATTGTTGCTATGCTGTGACGTAGCACTTTCAAGCCCTATTCTTCCCTGGCTAGAACACTGTAAGTGGACTGTAGTCATTATATTATTACTGTAGTCATTATACTATTACTGTAGTCATTATATTATTACTGTAGTAATTATATTGCATTATGAATACAAGTACAATCTTACGCAAGAGGTACACAAAAGGAAGTGAATAGGGCTGTTGTTTTGTTGTAACTCAGAGTTTCATGGCAAAACAACA